AGGTAGGAGGAGGGATGGTGAGGAAAGCTGAGGGCAAAGGCTCAGATAGAGGATAACTGCATGTTATCCAGAGGGACCTGCAGAACTATAGGATGTAGAGAGTGTGGAGAGATGTGGCTGCAGAGGTGAGGAGGAACCAGTTTTTAGAAGTGTTTTACCATACTAAATTTTGGTGGAGAGCCAGTGACTATAAGCAGGGAAGCAACATGATCAGATGTACAATAGCAAAAGACCATGTTATCCATCATAGAATGTGGATTGAAGGTGGGCCAGACCAGTAAGGAGACTAGTTAGGAAGCTACTATAGGGAATGAATTGGTGGCTAGGAGCTGTATAGTGGCAGTGAGGATGGAGAAAAATAGAAGAATTTGAAAGATACTTAAGAGGTAGACATTAAATTCTTCATGATTCATTTGATTGCTGGAACGTGGATAAGGGAGAAAAATCCAAGTTTATTCCTAAGCTTCTGCTTCGTACAGTTAGACAGGGCTGTAACACAACAGCAAATGTAGGTTGGAGAACAGCAAAGTGGGTTGGAGAAGGAAGGAGTGGAGAGAGGGGTGATTTTGTGTCAGGCCCTGCTGATGTCCGGTGGGCCCCTGAGTATACAGGGATTGAGCCCAAGAGAGTGATCTGAACTGGAGGTACAGAGGTAGGACTTGCTGGCATATAGATGATAACTGAGATAGGGGAGCCAATGGAGTTGCTTGGGTGCAATATGGAGTAATAATATAATGTGGCCACATTTAGGAGATCCTCGGCAACACTGCCATTTAAGGGGAAGACTGAGGTAGAGAAGTCTGCAATAGAGATTGAAAAGCAGCTAGCCAAGAAGTGGGAAGAAAGTAGGAAGAGAGAACTAGGAAGAAAACCAAGAGAGTGTGACATCATGGAAGCTGAGGGTTCCAGCCACATCAAAAGCTAGGGAGAGACCATGTAAAATAAGAAGTGAACAACACCAGTTCGCTCTTGGAGGAAGGTAATGGGTAACCCAAGTACAAGTTCTTATGGTGAGCTATATAGCTTGAACCAGAAATGTCTAGAAAATAAGAACGCATAGGCAGATGAATATGATGACAATTTCTGGGTTACCCATTTTATCATTTCACAATGATTTCCATGAATTTGTCTGCTATTAATAATGAAAATTGAATATGCCTTTTAAATATGCCTTTTCATATTAAATTTTGGATGTTTCTTGCAGTCTTCCCATATATGTTGGGCTTTCCTTCAGAAATAGTGAAACCTTCTGAACTCATGGTCTCCTGAAGATTTAGCTGTGAAAAAATAGTGGAAAAGTCATGCATATAGGAAGTCCAATGATTTGAAATTTTTTCTACAGTTGTATTTCATACAAATGCATGTCTGCATATTCTTCTTTATAGTCTGACCTGTAGGCTTCTTTTCAGACAATCCTAGAAAAATGCATCTTATTCCATTTTACAAAAACCAATATCCTGAAATGCTTAGATTGAAGTGTAGAGTTGTGTTTATTATGTTTTCTATTATTTGAAAGCCAACAAAATCAATAATGGAAGACTCATGAGGGATTTTGCTTTGGTTCTGCTCTCTTGAAATGAGATTATAGGGATTTTACAATCTTGAATTCTCAAGCTATACAATAAATACCCAAAGGGCCAGCTAGAAAACATAAACATTTCTGATAATTTAGAAATGAGATTTGAGTAAAAGTTACTATAACTGGAATCATAGATTTCCTTTGCAAAAGACAAAACTTAACTGATTAAGAAGTATTTTAAAGGAGACAGTTACTTAACAAATCCACTATTAGCTCTCTATGAGATTTAAAGTTTCAATGGGAATTGTGAAACAAGTATAAAAAATATATTTATCACATTTTGACCATGGAAAGAATATATAGTTCGTAACTACTTTTTTCTCTGAAGCACTCTCAAGCTGATGAAAACTCCTTGCCTTAACTTGAAAACTCCCTAGGAGTTGCTGGGTATTGAGAACCAAACTTTGCTTCCTGTCAACCTGTTCCCCCTACTGTCCCTAAAGACAGCTTGCATTTCCCTGCTTTTGATTCCCGTCAATTAGAATATCCCCTTATATATTTTCCACTTTCCTTCATTTCTACCTATTGATATCCCCCAAAGCCCAGATCAAATACTACCTGTTCTATTGGGTTAGATTTGCTAGCCACATACAATATATAATGTTAGCTATTGCACATGGTAGCTATTTGCAAACTTACTTCTAGTTAAATTGTAAGTTTCTAGAGACAAAAATTGTATCTTATACCTTCCACATTGCCTAGCATGATGCCTAACATATGGTTGTCACTATGTAAATGTTTATTATATTTAAAATGTTTACATTAAGAGTAAAGCTAGAATTTGGAACCATTTTCTCTTTTTCTGCCCTTGCCAAACTATGGAAGAAAAGTGGGTCAGGTTCTCTCTGGAGAATGTAGTCATTCAAAATTTAGAATTCATCCAGGTTCAACCAGAAACAAATATGTGTACATTATGATTACAAATTTCTCCTACAGAAAATAACATTGGAACTGGCAAATACTAATTTTCCAAGAAATTTCTATTTCTAAGGTAGACTTCTTGAATCTTTTAATCTGCTAATTACAATAGAAACCTTCTTATCCAATATAACTGGACTTAGTATTATATTTGGTCAATTTGTTGAAGTTTTTTAAAGTAGAAAAGCATTAAAAAGTTATATAGATACTGTAATTTAAAACACAATCACTCACCAGTCTTTTTGAAATAAGGCTTCTTTTTGACTATGGGTTTGATATTTAGAGTTCATTGTTCTCTCTATAGCATAAATCACCAAAATGTATTATCTACTGCATTGTGTTAAATTTTTTTGAAGTAATCTGAGTGTAGAAATTTTTTAGCTTTTTGTTTATTGACCACTCTCTATTTTAAAATTTCTTCACTTCCACTAAGTTAACATTTTATTTTAATGTTTTATTTTTATCTTTCCAAAACATTCAGGAGAGATTTCATAGAAAAAGTTTCCTTGCCTGGGCATGGTAGCTCTCGCCTGTAATAATCCCCAGCACTTTGGGAGGCCAAGGCGGGCAGATCACCTGAGGTCAGGAGTTCAAGACCAGCCTGGCCAACATGGTGAAACCCCGTCTCTGCTAAAAAATACAAAAATCAGCCAGGCATGGTGGCACATGCCTGTACTCCCACCTACTTGGGAGGCTGAGGCAGTAGAATCACTTGAACCCAGGAGGTGGAAGTTGCAGTGAGCCGAGATCACGCCACTGCACTCCAGCCTGGGTGACAAAACGAGACTCCATCTTAAAAAAAATAGTCTCCTTTTGTTTCGTAATCATGTATAATTATTTTATTTAATATTTAATTATAACAGTGGGCATAATTTGGGAACAAATACACCTGATTCATAACAAATAGTAATTAAACTGGTTGGAGAGAAGTGCTTAGGCATAGTGCCAGTGTTAGCATTCGCCAGTGTTAGCATTCACTATGACATGGATAGCACTTAATACATTGCATATACAGAATGGAGAGTAACTGTTAATCTGGGGAACTGATGAGATGGAGCATGGTTAAGAGATCTTCTGTTTTACTTGTATTTGTTACTGTATTTCTGACAGTGTTCCACAGAAAAATTGAGAAGTATTTTGTTAATAATTAAATAACTTTTCCCTCTGTTCTGAAGGACAGTGGGGTTAATTTAATGGATGTGTTGTGTTAATTCAAGGAGAATTGCCAAAGGTCTCTATATGGAGGAACAATATAGCATAGTACATCAAGGCTATTTCAGGTGTATTGGCTTCATTTCTGGATTTAGAATAATCTTTATAAAAAATTCATTTGACTTAAAATTATTCGAAGAATGAAGTGAAGGAGAGAATAGAACATTGAGAAAATGTGTTTTTTTTTATGCTTTATGGAAATTGGTTACAGATACTCTCACAGTATCATAAACCACTCATGGTGGTCTATGTCAAATCATAATTTTGTGACATCAAATATCAGAATAGGGTAGGGAGTTAAAATCAGCTGAGAATATTCTAGAAATGAAATTGAAGAATGGGTAGAGAATTCCTATAGTAAGGGTACACTTTGTCTTCACACATTATTTAGAGATAGAACAGTGCTTAGATATCATCTAATCTAGTAGTTCTCAACTCTGGCTCTTCATCTGAGATACATACAGAAAAAAGTCTTAGTTTTTAAAAATCACATTTCCTATAGGCCATCCCAATTTTCTTCCTTAATGCAATGACCTTATTTAGTCTACCTAGTGTTTAAATATTTCTCTCATTTTTGTTATTCGTAGTATTTTTGGTAATATGATAAAATGACCATGAAAGTAGGTAATATGAAATGATTTTCAGAAAATACCTTTAATAACATTCTACTATAAAAACAACTGGTTGAAGGAAGTTTTTTGAGTTAGTATAATATTGTAAAATACAACCACTTACTTTCAGGATTATTTTTTGATCCCCCAGAAACCTTGTTTGAGCAATGTTTGCCTACGGATCTTTCTCAAGTCCTGAGAATTTTCCTTGAAATATTAAGACACGCTGAAAGACCTCCCATTATGTATGAACCTATTGACCTAATGGACTCTAATGAAAGATATTTGTTTTACTACTGGAAGATAAACTAAGATAAAATTAAATAAAAATAAGAGCAATACTCTTTCTGGATTTTGTCATGTTAAAACTCTGCATAAGCCAGGCACAGTGGCATGTGCCTGAAGTCTCAGCTACTTGGAAGGCTGAGGCAAGAGGAATGCTTGAGCCAGGAGTTCAAGGATGCAGTACACTATGATTGTGCCTGTGAATAGCCACTGCACTCCAGCATGGGCAACATAGCGAGACCCCGTCTCTAAAACAAAAACAAATACAAAACAAAGCAAACTCTGATTAGCTAGATTTTGGTGGGTTTACATTTTACCTAGAAAAATAAGTTATTTTAGAGTTATACTTCCTGAATGTTAGGTTTGCTTTCACATTTGAACTTTTGCTTTTCTAGGGTTTTGAAGGTGTTTCTTTCACGAACGGCTCAACGAATTCCGTATATGACTGGTGGACGGGTAATGAGAATGCTGGCAGTAATACTCTTGGTAGTGTTTTGGTTTCTCATTGGCTGGACTTCATCTGTGTGCCAGAATTTGGAGAAACAGATTTCACTTATTGGCCAGGGGCAAACATCTGATCACCTCATCTTCAATATGTGCCTCATTGACCGCTGGGACTACATGACAGCAGTTGGTATGTGGTCACTTGTTTTGTGTGATGGTCTTACCATTTTTCAGTAGCATTAAAACTGGCTTCTTTAAAAGTCTTGCCAGACTCTTTTGTAAAGCCTAAACTAATCTCACCTAATGTAATTCTGGTAAAGTAACATGAAAATGGTAGTAATGGCATGTGAAATGCAAACTTTTTTCTGGACGTTTCTATTGTTTTTCAAAGGCATATAGCTTTGTTGAGAAAATGTAATCAAATAAATCAGAAAGGAGAAATGAAGTGAATAATGGCAACTTCTGTGTATAAAGAGCTTACTTTTTTCGATCTTATCAGTTGGTCCCCGTTTGATTAATATTAACTATTCTCTTGATCTATTTCCTTACTTGGGAGAAAAAAGGAAGCATGCTGTTTAAGATAAAATGTTGGCCCTATAATATATCAGACTTGGTGTCTAGGGCACTCTTTGGAAAAAGGTTGTCTCTGCAAAATTTCTGATTAATCTATCTTTCCTATGCTGACCTCAAAAGATAACTTATTTATAATTTTTATCTCTGGAGGTATAGAATTACACAAAGACTAAGCCACGCTCCATGAATGTAGTAAGTGCTATGTGGCTGAGAACCTGGAGAACTTTCAAGAGCTGCATCATGGCTTGGACCCAAAACACAGATTATTTTTCTGGCAGCCCAGTGTTTTGAAAAGATGAGGAAAATACACAGGAATTTTTCTGTTGCTAATATTAGTCTATTTTAAGCTAAGTCTCTAAACATACAAAAAAAGGGATATTTTATTGTTGTTCCTCTCAGTAAGCCACAGGACAAACCTTAATTGTCTTTGGCAGATATAAAAAACAGAAACATGAGTTTGACCCATTTTTTGTCCCCCTCATATTTTGCAATTGTTGGCTAAATATTCACATCTAGTCTTTTGCTGGAAGCTAATAAAATGTATATTGAGTTTACAGTTCAAATGGAGGAATATTTTTCTGGGCAAGATATTTTAGGAATCTTATAAACCTAGTATCTGCAATAGTGAAGCAATATGGGTATGTAAAGAGAATGATTATGATATATAAAGCTTATTATATTTTGGGTAATATAACTATCAGAAGATAAATCATGACACTAGGGTAGGAAGCGATTCTGATCTTGGCTTTAGTCTGGATATGAAAATAAAATTGTATAGATAAAAAATTTCTACTCACCCTAACATTATTTTACGCTTTCAATGCAAGTTAACCAAATAGGAAAAATCATTTCCTTGTATTATTATGAAGCAAAGGCCACTAGTTTTTATTTTTCTGTTTTACAGAAAGAAAAAAAAAAAAAGCAAACCCCTCCCCCTGAAAAAAAACCAACCCTCCTCAAAATACATGATGACAAACAAGCAGAGAGCATGGCCTGTTCACCAAGAATTTTTTATGCATTGGAATTGAGATGCATTTGAGACCTTTAAAAATTTATTTTGCCCTCCAAAGAGGATCATATTCATGATTTCTATGTAGAAATATACAGAAATATATAATTGATAGTAACCTGTATAGTCATTATTCCTTTCATTAGGTAGCTTATTGATTCACATAGATGCATAAGAATTATTAAAAAGCAAAGTTAAGTGGTGAATATTCTTGGTGCAATAGTTTAGTAAAAGGAGATAGCAGTTTGGACTAGAACTCAGGAATCTTTTATAAAGGACAAGTTCTATTAACCATGGGTAATATTTACATTACCGTAAAGAGGCATAAAGAACATTCATTTTATAAGAATAGTGAAGGTCCAGGCGCGGTGACTCACGCCTGTAATCCCAGCACTTTGGGAGGTGCAGTGGGTGGATCATGAGGTCAGGAGTTCAAGACCAGCTTGACCAACATGGTGAAACACCATCTCTACTAAAAATACAAAGATTAGCCAGACGTGGTGGTATACTCCTGTAATCCTAGCTACTTGGGAGGCTGAGGCAGAAGAATCGCTTGAACCCAAGAGGTGGAGGTTGGAGTAAGCTGAGATCATGCCACTGCACTCCAGCCTGGGAGACAGAGTACGACTTTGTCTCAAAAAAAAAGAAAAAAAAAATAGTGAAGGAGTGGGGCAGTGGCTCACACCTGTAATCCCAGCTACTCAGGAGGCCAAGGCATGAGAACTGCTTGAACCTGGGAGGTGGAGATGGGAAGTAGAGATTGCAGTGAACCGAGATCACGCCGCTGCACTCCAGTCAGAATACATTGGATGGTTGAGTTTCTTGTGAGTTTATTAAATATACTGTTAATAATACTGTATGGTTACGTTTATTGAAAATGTCTTAGAGAAATTTAGAGAAACAGAAAAGTGATATAATGAATCAGTAAATTCAATCAAGATGACTATAAGGATGTATTTTTTTTTTAAGTGAAATGTACGAAACTCACCAAATTCAGGGGTTGGGGAGTTGGAATCATTAGAAAGGAGAAAGAGCAGCTCTCAAAGTGTGGTCCTAGAACCCACAGCAGCTGCATCACCTGGGGACTTGTTAGAAATGCAGATTCTTAGCACCCACTCTGACTTCTTCAATCAGACACTCCTGGATAGTGGAGCACAGCAATCTGTGTTTCATAAGCATTCAGGTGATTCTCATATTACTCTAAAGTACAGAACTGCTGACTCTTTGGAGGGAATCAGATGAACTTATGAGAACATAAAGATAACTAATCTCAATAGTGCCCTGGCCATTCCATTCACTCTTACTGTTCCCCTGGATCAAACACTAGAACATTCTTCGCAATTATTATTTCAAATCCTCTTTTCATACCTCCAAACTCTCCATGTTTCTCTTTTCTCTTAGTAGATGACTTCTATTTGAAAAAATAATAAACAGGACCCATACAATAGAAATGTCTTCAAATTCCTGCCTTCTTATCTATAAATCTTCCCATATCCACATTTATTCTTATATTTTCTCCTTCATATTATCTAAGGTAACACCACAACCTGTGCCAGACTCATCTAACATTTTGGCACCCTCATCTCCAGTGGCCACTCTCACTTTATGTGAACTTTCTGTTACATAAAACTCCCCTACCTCCAAGTCACTCGTTGAAGACACTGAAGAACTGTTTTGTTTTTTTTGTTTTTTTTTTCAGTAGCTTTGGGGGTACAGGTGGTTTTGGTTACATGGATGAATTGTATACTGATGAAGTCTGAAATTTTATTGCACCTGTCACCCAAGGTAGTGTACATTGTACCCAGTCTGTAGTATTTTATCCCTTACCCCCTAACTCCTTCTGAGTCTCCAGTGTCCATTATACCACTCTGTATGCCTTTGTGCGCCCATGGCTCACCTCCCACTTATAAATGAGGACATACACGATTTGGTTTTCCATTCCTGAGTTATGAAGAACGCCATTCTGATCACAACCCATTTCTAGCTCATTTACCCCCTCTACAATAGCTCTTTTCAGATTGTTTTCATTGTACTTTACTGCTCCTAAATTCTGCTCTTCTCCAGAGAGGAAGCTTACCAGGCAGCAGATTTTTCCACTTGCAGTATTGGAACTATGAAAAGAAAATGGGCATTTTTAAAAGACGTTAATTTTGAATAATTCTGGGAAAGAGGACATAGAGAGTAATGACGACCCTGAGATAGAGAGTGCAAGAGAAAATGAAGATTCATAGCTTAAGAGGGCTGCAGGGCATGCAGTTCCTTAGGCAATAACCAGGTCTCAGTTAAAGAGGTACCAAGAAACTAAGAGAAGAGACTGATTCTAGTGGTAGGATCTAGGTCATGGCTTCAGGAATGAGATAGAAGTATCAAAACTTAAGAGGCAGAAATTAAACTAATATACCTAAAGATGTTAGGCGATAACATTAGGGTCTCTTAGAAAATCAAGACTCGTGATGAGAGTGCAGGGACCAAGAAGTAAGAGGAAATTAAATTTTTGGTGGTGTTTTTGTCATCTCACAGTCATTGTTTTTGTCCTATAAACTACTGTAACACATTAGTCCCCATAGTGTGCTCATCCTATAGTGACACTGTTCTCTAAAATAAAAAAAAAAGTCAGGGCACATAATTTTAAAAAAGAATATTTGGAATTAGGACTGTCTTGAGAAATCTGAGACATGTGGTTGTTGTAATTATTTTTCACACTATCCTAACAAAAGTTTTCATTTATTTCTCTTTCAGCATGCAGCATCAATATTTAACCTCTCAATTTAATGGCTTCTAATGTGTAGTGTGTGCCTTTTTACAGTCTCTTTATAGAGCTCTATAAGTAACATGGTTTTGATACTCAGACTGTTATCAAAAATAAATCCATATATCTTCAGTCAGCTAGAAAACCTGTACTGCTGAACACTAAATTATTTCCTGGATCCTAAGCGGAAATGTTCCCATGTAGGAAGGGGCTGTAGAGAGAGAGGAAATAGGCTTAACCATGAGCGTGATGGGAAATCTTTCTCAAGAAGTTGTATGCACTTACATTAGTGTCAAGAGCTCATTCAGAAAAAAAGAAAAAGTGATGATAAATATATTGGTACCTTTGCATTCTGGATCAGCTTTACCCATCAAAAACAATCCCTTTTTCAAAATAAATCATTTGAGAGAGTGACTACTAGTTTTTCCAGTGAAGTAGAGATCTAGTTAGAAATATGGGTCATACATTCAAAGACCGGGTTCATTCTATTTTTGCTCATTGCACGGGGCTGCTCCAAAACTGCTCAGATAGATGACTTTCCTACCACAGTGTTTCAAAAGAGAAAACATGTGTAGAAAATAGGTTGGAAAAATCTCAGAAGCTACAAGAGCCACAGTGTCTTCTTGAGGAAATTATTTTAAAACATAGAAGGGGGAAAATGGCTTTCAGAATCACATTGTCATTTATATCCATTGATAATTTTCAATTATTTTGTTTGTCCTGTATTTAAAAAATGAGATAAGCTTTAATGGAAAAAAATAAGGATAAGGACATTGCTACATGGACATTGGACAATGTGAGAAGTGCTTTTCAGGCAGAGTAGTCAGTTTTTCTTAACAAATGACTTTATTCATCTGGT